GCCAAAAACCAAAGCCAAGTTCCAATCAGACACGCAAGTCCTTTGGCTCTGACTGACAATTGGCCAGAACTGAGCATCACACCCGCCGACTTTGGCTGTGGCTGTGGCTCCGGCTGGGACGTGACGTGTGGGGGTGGCGGTAGGGTAGGTAGCGCAACCAAAAATAAGGAAACTGCAACTGTTTACAAAATTTGTGCGCAGTTTTTGCGGCAATTTCGCATTGAATTTACCCACTGATGCTGCACTGCATCGCCGGGGCAAATAAATCATGTGCGAAGGTGTCCTACCTACCGCAGGCAATCTGCGCCACTGACAGTTTTAATGCCGCATGAAGTCCTGCTCCTGTTTCGGCTTTGCACCCAAACTTTTATGATTTCCTCCTGGCAATGTGGCCCGGCTCTGACGTCGACTCCAACTCCAACTCCGACTCCGATTCTGGTGCTACGTGCGCGGCTAGCACTTGTGGCATATGTGTGACGTTTCAATATCCTGTTGCGTGATTTTTATTTTCATATTTTTTATGTTGATTTTGCAACGCGTGTTGGCTTTTGCCGGCGTTTGCCGAGTGAGTGGGAGGCGTTGCCCCCGCCCCCGCCAGCAACGTGAACAGTCGCAAGTCACAAATCAAAATGCCTGCCATTGTTTGTTGTTGTTGTTGTTGTTGTTGCTGTTGTTGCTGTTGGTGTTGTTGTTGTTGTTTGTGTTGTTCCAGTTTTGCTACGTTTAGGCCTCTGAGCTGTCTACTTAGCCCGGCCTAGCTGGGCATGCGAATAGCGTTTAGGGTGAGGTGTGCAGGGGGGCAGAGCCTCGACAGCAGCCAATAAATCAAAACGTATGTGCTCTTTTTTTTCTTCCTGGTCATAACTTGATTTTTATCCTATCTTGTGTTAGTTGTTGATTTTGTAATTTATGTCACGGTGTGGATGCAAAAACCGACAGAAGATTTAGTTATGGACATAATTGCTATCTATATAAACAGTCAATTAGAGCTTAAAGCTACGATTAAATTAAAATGGATAATTTTGTGCAATATAAATCAGAATGCTATATTCGATATTTCTAAAAGATCAAAGCATTTGCTTTAAAAGTGATTTATCATTTAAAAGCAAACAAGAGATTCAAGCTTTATGAATCGTCAAACATAAATTATATAAAATACGTTAGAGGCTCGACTATGGAGCTTGCTATGCTTGCCCAAGCTGTAAAGCGCATTAAAGCTTATAGCTTTGCTTGTATGGGGAAAACTTAAAGCTCAATATCAAAGTGCTTAACGAGGTATAACTTAACTAATTATTTGAAATAAATAACATAAAACTCAGTGAAAGCTCGGTTAAGTTTAATATTCACGAAGAGGCTTTAAAGCTTTAATATTTGTGTGAATCGGATGGAAATAAAGCTTAATAAATTGTTTGAAATAAATCATATAAAATACACTTTAAACTCAATATTGATAAGGATATGCTTTAAAGGCGGATTTTAACTTTCAACATTATAACTTGTATAGATAGAATGATATAAGACACGCCCAAAGCTTAAAGCTTGAAAACCTTGCAATACAGATCTTTGTTTTTGTACCCAACTATTGACTTATTTTATCTTGCAATATTCAAAGAAATTTTGGGTCTAAGCAGGGCCAATTTCAGCTCCTTTCTTGAGATCTTAAGTATTTACATGATCAATAAGGCTACTACCGCAACCTTAAAGTGGAGTAGCAACTGTTCGATTCGTTGTCGTCCGGTCTTGTCAATATTTTAATATCCATTTGGTGTAGATGCTGCAAAAGTTTTCCAATACCATTTACCATAATTCCACTTTGCACATTGACACCTAACCAAAAGTCATTCAAAAAGCGGAAAGACAAGAGCTGTTGCCCAGCTGAGAAGCTGCGCTGCCACTGAGTAATAGCCAGTAAAAAATTGTAAAAAGCACTCGAATGTTCAACTACTTTTTTCGACATGGACACTTAACTGACAATGTCTGACCTTTTCAGCAACTGGACGAGCTGAAGCGAGCACGACGACAACTAAAAGTAAAAGCAAATTTTTGGACAACAAAATAAAGGAAATAAAAAAAAGCCAGAAACTATATGTATATATCTAAAAGTAAAGTACAAAATAGCAAGAAATAACTAAAAATTGATGCATGCACAAATGTGGTTGATGAGGGCGTGAGCAGAGTGAGGGGCGTGGTGGCTGGTTGAACCAGCAGCAAGTGAAATGCTTACGTGATACTCAAGTTGCCAGAGTGTGTTTGTATGTGTGAGTATGTGAGTGTGTGTGAGTGTGTGTGTGAGTGTGTGTGTGAGTGTGTGTGTGTCTGTCATGTGCTGAAGGTCGCAGGGAGGGCAGCAACAGAGACAGAGCCATAGACAAGTCAAGTCAGCGCACTGCTGCATACAAAAAAGGGGCCAAGACATAGGACGCACGACACAGGACGCAGCACAAAGTCTTGCGTTTGGCAGCGCCTTTTGTGTCACAAGTTGCCAGAGTTTTGGGGTGTCAAACTTGAAACTGTCAAAAGTTATGTCGGCATGTCCCGGCTGCCCGTCTGCCCATCTGCCCATCTACGTGAGGCGTGTGCGTCGCTGTCAACAGCTGCATAGACACGCGCCGGTTCAATATTGGTGGCAACTTTTGAAGGCAGCGCAAGGCACAAAGTCAGCGATTAAAAGCACATTTAAAGGCGTGGCCCAAAACAGCCGTAACAACAACAACGACAGCCCCGTAACCCCACAAGGTTGCAAACCGCAAGCTGCAGCAGCGCTCAATGTGCCCCAGCCCAATGCCAAGCGCACAAATTGCCCCCAAATGAGACGCCAGCCATGCGGCGTCCAGCCTGCAAGTATGCTACAATAAACTGCAGCGGCACATGCTTGTGTATGTGTGCTTTTGTGTGTGCGTGTGTGTGCACCGGTTGTTGCGTGTTTACGCAACGTAACCAAAGTCAAAACCTCGATTAGGATTCAATCTGCTGCGAGCCGCACTCACAGCGCTGTTTGTCCTTGTTGTCCTTGTGTCGTAGTCCTTGTTGCTGTTGCTGTTGTTGCGCCGCAGGTCAGCAGCAAAGTCAAACCGATTAAAACGCGCACATGCAGCGTGGGGCAAGCCGAAATGCTTTTGTGTCCATAGGTACAATGTGAGGCGTATTCTTCAAGGGGCAATTAACTGCGACGCGCTCGAAAGTATGCAGCAAAAAAGTGTCGGGCGAAAAAAATAGTGCCTGTGCGTGTGTGTGTTGTGTTAGTGTTGCTGTTGCTGTTGGTGTGCGCGCGTGTGTGTGTGTGTGTGTATCTTGCATAGATTAGATTTTTGCCCCGGCCACTGACAAAATATTTAGCACTGGCAGCAGCTGCCGCTGCGCAGGGACCGCAACGCCTGCCCATAAAACAGCCATTAACGCCAGGAGCCCTTCCAAAGCTCGATTCACTTTTTTTTACACCATTTGGTGTTCACTTAAAGCGCTTAAATTTTGAAAGATTCTTCTTCTTCAGTCGAGCTGCTGTCAGCAACATGCGCATCCAATTGCAATTAGCCAAGGTGCAAGAAAAGCCAAAGCAGCCACAAGTGGGCGATGCGAACATGAAACCAATTTAAAGCGGCAGCAAAAAACTCAAAAAATACAAACAGCAGCAGCAAAAAAAACAAACAAACAAATGTGAACTAGCCGAGAGTACACGACTCGGAGATACCCTGTGACCAGCGCCGAGCTGCAATTACAAGCATACGAACTTCTCTTTTCCTTACGTCCTTTTTTTTTCAAATATGGAACGCTGGAGATAGCTAAATCGATTCTTATCGATATTGAATTAAAATTCATTTGATCTGATCCAAAGAAAAACTTAAGTACCAGAGCTAAGGGCTCTAGATCTAAGAGTCTCTGATCTCGATGGTTAGAAGATGGATATAGAAGAACAGACAGATGCTGATCAAGAATATATAAACTATATGGGTTCGGCATAGCTTTCTACTGCCTGTTAATTACATTTGCCCAAACCCGTATCGGCAATTTTACCCATTTTATACAAGTAAAGGGTATGAAAATAATAATAATATACTCAAGGCGTCGACAGGGACGTCTTGGCGGGCGGGACCACGCCCAGCTGCTTGAGCGGTGTCTGCAGCAAATTAATTTGCCGAGTGTCTTTTGCAGCAGCCCGCGGACATGGCCAAGTCCTTCAGAGTCCAGACGACGGCGACAACGACGACGACGACGTCGACAAAGCTGAAGGTGAGCCAACGGGTGGACCCGCAGCTGAGTTAAGTTGAGTTGAGTATCTGCGTATCTACAAGTACGTAACCGCGTATCTGCCACAATATATCTCGGCATTAGAATTTCAATCTGAAGCGCAAACAATTCATTTAGGGGTACTTTATAAGAGTCTCTATCTCGGCCATCATATTCCTGTTTAAATAAAAATTTCGAGCAAATTGCGGCGCGGCAGTAAATCGTTTGTGGCAAATAAAATAAAAGAAACAGGAAAAAAAAACCTAAGCCACAGCATATCAAATTACCCAAGCAGAGCCAGGCAGATGACAAAGTGCGTGGCATGTGGCATGCGGCAGGGGAGACTGTGGCAAGGTGTAGCCGGCAAAGTAAGTCAGCTACTTGATAAGTGCCTCCCCCAGCGCCGGAAGGTTGCCTCACGATGCGGCTGACAGTCGTCGCATTTGATGCGATGCTGAAAAATTGTTGCTAATTTTTTAGCACTGACAGCACAAGCAGCTATCCGGGACTATCGCATTGCACGGCGGCTTAAGTGAAAATGGTTGGCATTTTCATTTTATTAGCGAGCTGATGAAGAAGGTAATGCGGGCCACGGATCATGTTGAAAGCCGTGCAACAAGCTCCGCGCAATAAATACAAATAAATGATTGTCAAACAAATCTGCGAACTCAAACAGATTAAAGTTGACGGAGTTCTTATGATTCAAATATGTTGTGTGTGCTTTAAATTGTTTCTTTTATAATAAGAAGAAGGAGGAAGAAAAAATACCTACTCACCGGATTAAGAAAAGTTTTCTGTTGTTCTCTTGGTCTCACTCTCTCTTTCTCCTCTCATTCTCTTCGGTTGCAGAGGCAAAACGCTCGCCAATTTGTTGTGAAGAAGAAAGCTCAGCACTAAAAATTAAACGACACAAAAATGTACCCTCAAGCGCGAAGAACAGAACGAACACAGATTTAGAGTAGTTTGTAATAACACGCACATCATAACACATACTAATCGCGTTTAATATTAAGCAGCTAAGTTAACTTTGTTAAAACACCGATTTTTGTACACACGCGACGACAAGACAACCGATAAATATGATAGACGCGCACAGACTAAATTACAGCTTTAAGCTTGCGCCTACGCTAAGCCGACGATTGTGCTAAAACAATAACAAAATATCAAAGCACTTGCGCTCACACCATTCACAATGCACCCACAAATAGGACAACGGGATCGAAAGCATTGCGACCAATGCATCTATGTAAACACTCTCCCGCACACACAACTCTCTTCTCACTGCTCACTCTCATTAAACGGGATCGAAAGCAACAACGCAAAAATTGTATCAACAGTGGACAAAAAAATTATCTTCTGTACTCTTCGCACTTATGTATAGTAAGTTGGGCATGCATAATACACGGAGAGAACAGTTTTGCATTTAAAGCGTTCGCACACACACTACCTGGTTGTTTGAAACACACACAAAATAAATTCTTATTGCTTAATTAAATCTAGCCTAAAAGTGAACTTATATGTATTTACAATTTTGCAACAATTGTACATATGTACATTTATTTCTCTTATGCTGCAATTTCTTTATACTCTTCTCTTTGCATTTCTTTACCTCATTTGTCGCAAGCTATAGGCCAAAAACAAAGGGCAACTCACACACACACACGTTTACCTTTTGAACGCACACTTATTGTAGTTGTTGTTGCTGTCTATTGTTGTTTTTGTCGCAACAGAAGCAACAACTGCTCATTGTCTTGTAAAAGCAGTCACCCCGCCCCATCCCTGATGCCACAGTGCAATTTAAGCAGCCACAGAAAAATGTTGCCAACATATTTTGCACAGTGTTTTCTTCCGCACACCCTCACACACACACACACACACACACACAGCTGCAGTCGGCAACAGACAAGGCAGATGAACGACTTGAGGGATTTTGCTGAAATGACATTTGGCTCCACATGTGACAGGCAGCCAGCTAGGGCAACAATAACAGCAACAACAACAAATAGCTGCAGCCGGTGGCATTGAAAAAAGCAATTTAAGCCAAGTACAGAAACACACATATGTGCGCAGCAATACACCTACAACACATAGACCCAGAGCCTTGCAATCACGCACACACGCATGCCAATTGCTTTTGTGGCCTGCGCTGCGTGTCCCACCTCAGTCCCTTTTCCCACACTCTCATTCCATTTGCAAATTTTGATAAATTGCCGCAGTTACCTTTCGTGGAATGGCATAGTCTAAACCAGAACCAGAGTTGTCAGATGTTGCCACTTGTCTATTGGCTCACAAAGTGAGCGACTCAATTTAAAGTGAAGTAAAATCAAGACAAATGCACAAATCACAATGACACCAGCTTAAAGTGATGCTCAAATATGAAATTAGAGTTCAGGCTGTACTTCCCTAGCCCCACCCTATATATATTCACCCAATAAAATTAAAAAGGCTAAAGAAACTTACCAACTTTAAGCTTAAACTCAAATTTAAATATCACATTCAGGTAATTTTATTGCAATTCAAATCGCACAAACAACAGCAATCAATCTAAAAGGAAATTAAAATCAAAATCAAAATCGAAGTCATGACTTTTACAGCACCGCAAACTTTCTCCGCCAAATCGACAAACAGGCGAATTGCCAGCCAAACGATAAATCTATGAAATTATTAGCAGCGCCCAAGGAAATCGAAGTGAAAAGTTCGAGCTGCTGCATCAGGCGCAGGTCCTGATATATGGGCGCGCAGCAATCGCATTTGGGGGGGTTAAGTGTGTGTGTGTGAGTGGGGCTAATTGAATTTAATTGCCCACTTAATGGCGCAATGAGCTAAGTGCAAGCACAGGAAAAGAAAGTAAAGGAAGTAAATCTTGTGTAAACTACGTTTTGCCATTCCGATGAACTTGACCATTATGGCCACAGCAATAAGTTTCGTGGATTGGGTTCGATGTCTTTCCGTTCAGTTCATGATTCCATGGATGTGGACAATCTAGTGTCACCCAATAATATATTGATATATTGATACATAGATATATAGGTATATAGATATATATATGTAGATATATAACATATATTAGATATATAGATATATGTATATATATATATATATATATACTAGCGGGTATAACCCGGCCTTGCCCGTCGCACTTATGTTAAAAATCAACGTTCTCAAAAAGCTTTGAAAATGATTTTGAAACTTATCGGACGGTAAGCAAATAACTTTCATACAAACGTTTTCCGCCAATTTACCAATGTTGCGAGTGGAATTTGCCAAATCGCTGAAACACGTATTCATTATATTCTTATGTAGAGCTTTGAAAATAAGTTTGAAGCAAATCGGACGCAACTTAAAACTTCGCCCAAAAAATCTTTGAATCGCTTTCACACACCCGAAAAAGTTTGGATTTGCAAAAGGTGTGAAACACGTCTCAAATGATTTTTCTTATAGATCTTTGGAAACGAACTTGAACGCGAAACGTCACCCACCAAATCTTTGACCTCCATTTCCACCAAGGAAAGGTAACACATAAGGTAACGACAGTGAAAATTTCAGCTTCCTAGCTGTTACGGTTTGGGCTGTGCGTTGATCACCAATCAGTCAGTCAGTCAGTCAGTCAGTCAGGGCAAACAGATTTATATATAGAGATATATAAATACAATTTTTTGGGTTTCCAGCCCTGGTTTCTCAATATATCCTTAAAGGGATTTCGTGGAGAATCCAAGCAATAGCTACAGTGTTTAGGAGAATTTGATTAACATGCACTTTTATGAAAACATTATTTTTAGAAAAAACTAAATTTGTAATCTATTATTTAAATGTTTAATCTTTAACGTCGAAATAGTATGTGCGATTCACGGGTGATTGCAAGCAAGGCTTCCTGAACATTTGATCCCACTCGTATATCCAGTTAGTGAGGGCTGAAAAAAAATTGAGGACAAACTGATTTTTGAGATTTTAAAACTTGGCTACCTATCTTCTCGCCGATCAGAACTGGGCATCCGCCGTGAAGAGAGCGCAGATCATAGTCGAAAGTTCCAGGCAACATGTTGTACCAATGGAGCACCTTGCCCCGTTCTGGCTGCACCACTAGTTCCAGTTCGGGAAAGACAGTGGCCCCACCTTTAACCACATCATTGAGCTGCATAAAAAGGATTGGTCTAATTAATCTAAGGAAAATTCAATGAAGCACTTACATAGATTAACGTGGTAGCAATACGATCGTGGGGGAATGCCGAGGAGTTGAAGAAGTCGTAATGGGACTCATAATGTCCGCCGAAAACATAATTTAAGAACTGCAAATCTGTTTTAGAAAAACCGATTATTAGTCCAGTCATGTCCTCGACCCGCTTTTGAATTCGCCCAATCATATTCCTTTCCAACATAGTTAGATTTCCATTCAAAATCCAAGAGCCACTCGCCGTGCGATCTTTTGATATAATAATATGTTTGCTTTGAGTGATGTTTTGAACACCTGTGCGTTTGAGCGTTGGTTCTCCGATACGGATCAGTTCGGCAATCTCCGACTCGTGGATTACATCATGGAAGACGACTACGTAAGGATCCTTGGACAACAGCTCCACTTTGAAGGGCGCCAGACGCAAAAACTCGGACGGACTCGTTTTGTAATAGCAAGCCAGTCGAGTTGGTTTTGGATTGCGGGATGAGCCACAGAGTTTGGTTTCGGCAATCTCCGACTCGTGGATTACATCATGGAAGACGACTACGTAAGGATCCTTGGACAACAGCTCCACTTTGAAGGGCGCCAGACGCAAAAACTCGGACGGACTCGTTTTGTAATAGCAAGCCAGTCGAGTTGGTTTTGGATTGCGGGATGAGCCACAGAGTTTGGTGAACGGTTTTTCCAATCTTCCGATATATCTATCTACTATACCGTCTGTTGATTTTCTATCAGTCCAATACTCCGCGAAAAATTCCTCCTTTCGAGTCCACAATTCGGGCTCATCCATCAACAGAGCTCGAGCACTATCTAATTCACCTAAATGGATGCAAAAGAATACCAAGTAGAAGGCTTTCTATGTTTGGCCTAGCTCACCGTTTGCAATAAGCGATCTGGCCAGGAGTGAGGAAATATCGGTTCGCGACACGTTCAGTAGCACATAAAGGTCGGCCTGGGACTGATTCCACAGATGTCGGGCCGTGCGCAACCATTTGGACGCATCTTGAAACTCAGCCGCTCGGAAGAGAAGAGCGCCCATCCCATAGCAGTCGAGGATCGAAAGGTTCGCACTGTCGAATGGAAATGGAGAGAATACATCAACATTTAACCCACCTTAAATTTGAATACCCACTTAAGCTGCACTCCATCGAGCAGGCCCCTGGACATGTCGGCCGGTTCCATTTCGTAGGTCTGCTGTACTCGGTACATGGCTGCCGTAACCTCCATCACATCCCTGCTCAGCGGTAGCTCGGGTTGCATTTCTTTGATAAAATCAATTTGTTCTACATATTGACACGGATTTAAATATGACGAATAGAATGTTGTGAGCTGCATGGAATCTCACCCTGACCGACCGGCTGCTGCATGGACCTTTCCAGCTGGATCCAGTCTGCGTGCATGTGACGTATGAGTGTGTAGGTGTGCAAGGGATTGGAGAGAAACTCCTTCTCCCGGCCCTCGGCTGCTTTCAGTGTACTTTCCAGCTCCTGGGCCAGCCTGCGAGAGTAGAATCAATCTGTATATTGATTGTAAACAGTTTGCGTCAATTACCTCTTCAGCGTATCGGCCCTCTCCTGCAGCTTGTCGATGTATTCGTGAAGATTCACTATGAGATGCCTCTCCATCACCAGCAAGTGCAGCTTGTCAGTCATGCTTGTTACGTAGCTCCTGGCGGTTTCACTTGTCACACCTTGCACCACAGCCACAGCCACAGCTAAGCCCAGAATATTCAGAATCGAGCGCATTGTGAGCTGCATCATCTTTGACGTGGTTCTGATGGGTGGATCGCTAGACCTAGCGTTAAATGTGGATATGTGTTGATTTAAGCGAGACGAAATGGTTTGCCATGCTTTAAGGTAGATTAAAAAGCTGACACCAGGCAGAACCTGATTTTGGATATGCCAATCGACAGTCCAAATTAATAAGATTTGACCTTGTTTCCGATAAACCCATGTCAACAATTTATTCCACAACAGCTTCGAAATCGCCTCAGTTGCTGCGAACGGAAGAAATATTCCAAGGTATTTTGATGACTCCCAAGATCTTTGTTTAGGGGTTGCCTTTGTGATCTGTTGCTGAACGTACTTTTTGGAAGTCGGGACCAAACGCTTTGAGTCCTAGCATACAGCTCAGATTGGATATAGAAAATTTGACTTCCATGAAAATTAGTCTACATCTTGGCTAATTATAGGGATTAAACAGTTTTATTATTGAAAGCTGAACACTTGTGAATATTTAATATCCAGTGAACTGGGAAGAGTTCACTCATTGGCTGTCAGAAACTTGATGAGGACTGCAAGCGTAGAAAGAGAACAGGAGCTATTAAAAGGCAACTGCTTGGCGTAGGAACTGGCCGAATGCTTACCCAGTCGATTGCCCACCACATTGGGGCACACGGTGTACTCTATGTCCTCTTCGTTCTGGACAATTAATGCATCGCCTCGACGCGGAAAGACGGCCATTTGTTGACTGGATATCGTAATGGCACCACCCAGCGCCATGTCGTTCAGCTGGCGAATGGAGTGAGCGGTTAGGAGGAGCTACCTATTCGCCCGACTGGCTTACTTACAAACAAGATGGCTGTAGACTCAATAGCCTCCACATTGACATCGATGGACTGCAGTTGAAAAGAAGAAGAAAAATGTATTGAATGAATCCACATAATTGAATGGACTTCACCTGGTAAAGGTCCTGCAACTGGAATGGATCCCGCGGACCGTACTCGAAGAGAAACATTTGGTTCTTGTGCAAATCGAGACCAGTCATGTCAACAATCCGATCCGTGAGCAAGGTCGTGATCACACTAAATCTATCTGAAATGGTGCAGCCCTTGACGCCAGCGATTGTCCACAGCCGGGCACTCGAGGGACAATGCTCGAAGGCATGCTTAATGTGGCCTATCTCGCGCTCATATATGCCATCCTTGTAGATGATCACGTAGGGCTCGTCCCACGCCTCCTCCAGACGCAGTGGAGCTAATTGAAGGAAGGGCGTCAACATGTCATTCAACTCACAGACCAAATACGTATTCTGTTTGTAGTTGCCCCTGCATTGCTTCTGCAGCTTGCTGGGCGGCTCCGCAGACGCTGGCGATGGATGCACTGGCTCCTGCTGCTCCAGCTGGTGTTGCTGGCTCCGCAGCAGCTTGTTCTCCGGCTGCAGCTCCAGAGCCCGTGAGAGCACGACGAGTGCCTCCACTCGCATATCTGCCACAGATTGGCTTCATTAGTTTGCGCCCATCCATGGGCTAAAATCAAATACCTACTAAGTTTCTTGAATACCTTGAGCTGCATTTCGTAAATCCGCCCCAGAGACACGCCCAGCAGCTCATCATGCGGAGATGTAGGGCTGTATTTCGCAGCGGCTGCCGCCAGCCAATCGACTGCCTCGTGGTATTTCTGCTGCTCGTACAGCTCCCGGCCCATGTGGTAGCAGTCCAACGAACTCAGCCTGTGCGCATAAAGTACAGGGTATTGTATTCAGTAAATGGAAATATAATAGTTGGAAGTGGTCTAGTCGAAAGACTGGAAGACTGGAAGAAGACTCGAACTTCGTTCTATGCATACATGCTCACGTACATATCGAAAAGAAACACAAGAGGCTCTAGTTGGGAGTTCCCGACTAGGAGATACCCTTGGGGATCCCCGATAGCCAACAAGTGAAAGATACTTGATATATGTATACTATCTCAGAAGCTACATGTCAAGTTTGGTGACTTTAGCTCTTATAACTTACGAGATTTGCTCAAAAACAGGATTTCGATATAGATTTTTATCGATTACTTGGAAACGGGCCAAGGTAACGATTATCGGTAACAAACTCGTATTGCTCGGGCACTAGGAAGACCTACGTTCCAAATTTCAAGTATATAGCTCTTAAAGGTTCTGAGATCCTTGCGTTCATACATACGGCAGACGGACAGACGGACAGACTGACAGACGGACGAACGGACGGACAGACGTACATTTCTAGATCGACTCGGCTGTTGATGCTGATCAAAAATATATATACTTTATAGGGTCGGAGATGCTTCCTTCTGCCTGGTACATACGTTTGCACAAATACATTATACCCTTTTACCCATTTGTAATGGGTTCAGGGTATAAAAAACTCACCTCAAGTGTTTTTTGTTTTTTAACAAAAAGGATGCGGGTGCATAGTTGTAGAACTTGAACAGGGACTGAAGGCTCTGTGCCGCCTCCTTGTGGGCATCACGTGTGGGCAGAAGCGAGAGCAGTCGCTGCTGCATCTTCAACTGGTCGCTGCCCGGCTGCTGCGTCATGTAGAGCTGCCAGGCTGGCCAGTGCTGGCGCATGTGCGTCATTAGCCGGAAGGCGAACAGGGGATTCGACATATACAAGTCGGGATTTCTATCGAGCAGCTGAATGTTCTTGCCGTACTCGGCAATCGCACTAATGCGGAATGAACTAGATATGTCTGTGTGCATTTGTACAACTATTTACCCATTGATGAGGCGAAGTCTGGTCTCCAACTCCTGGGCATATATGCGTAAATTATGCAGCAGTTCGCGTTCCAGCTTCACAACACTTTTCAGTTCGCCCACGCTGATATTTTCGCTTTGAGCCGAGGCAATCAGCAGTAGCAGCAGGCACAGTATTCCAACCATCATGTGTGTCTGTTAGCTGGCAAATGGATCCAGACACGCGCAGTTGGTCTTCACCCTGACTAATTCACATATCAAAGGGAATTCCATACATAAACCAGATCCAATGCAATTAGGTTGGACCGGCAAACGTTTAGGTGGAACCTGTGCATCATGGTCAAGAATAAGTCTTGGTTAGCAATAAGCTTAAATGAATTCTTACGTTCCAATAAAAACCTAAGTTTCATATAAAAAATTTGGCAGTTGTATTCACAGTTTTGGTAGCTCTGCTTGGTTCGTTTGAAACAGTTTTGGCGGCACTGTAAGATACCAGCAAGCAGTAAAGTGTGCTGCTTGGCTACTGCTTCCTTTTGCCGTCGATATCTTTGAGCGCAAAAATCGATAGGTTATCGGTAAATTTGAATATTGTTATGTATATCCTAGCGTTAGCTTATTTAATATATTTTCTATATTTAATAATACTGATTACTTTTCGCCTATTTATTCTAAATGTAAATATTAACATTGTCAGCGAAGTGTGCATGCTATTTCGTCTCGCAACAGTGCACCAGTGTCGTCGTCCTCGTACTCTACTTCCCCATCAAACTCGGCCGTCTCCTCGTGTAAAATTTCTCGTTCATCGATTGGCGTCCTACGCCTGCGACAAATATTGTGCAGGGCACAGCACACATTGACGACATTTGCCACAAACCTGGCGTCATACATCAAGGCGCGCTGCATGCATCCAAATCGGCTCTTGAGCAGGTTAATGGTGCGTTCCACAACAGATCTTGCTGCCGCATGCCTCTCGTTGAAACGCTGTTCCACCGAATCCTGGTCGGCGTTTTTGTATGGCGTTAAAACATAATTTTCCAGTGCATAAGCCGTATCGGCTAAAACATAATGGCATTTCACGTTGCGCGACAAGTATTCCCTGGCTTGGCTATTGCTCCAGATATAATGGTCACTGCACGAGCCAGGATGCGTACAGTCTATTGCCAGGATCTCCATGTTGTAGTTGCACACCTGATGGCATAAATTCTAGTTAAGAGAGCCAGTTGCTGCAGTGTATTCAGCTCGCACATACCAGCATAGCATTGATGCTGTAATAATCCTTATCGTTAAAGTAGATTGTTTCATCCCGCACCGGCTTCAGGATTCGTATTTGCAGTCCATCCACGCAAGCGACGACTCTGGGCAGCTGATAGTTCTCATAGAAGTAGTCGCGAGATTGTTTTATCTGCTGCTGGGTCATTTGCAATGTAATTGCTTCCTGGCACAGCGCCGCCTCCATTAGGGGAATCACATTGTGCAATATTCTGCTAAATGTGCTCCTGCCAATGTTTACGGGACGATTCTTTGACACGGACAACTTATATGAGCCGGTGGCCAGGAAGTGGAGAGTTGCGGCCAGCTGAAGCGCCGGCGTTAGGTAGGACAGTGTAAAATCTGGTTGAATTTTGCGCAATATCCATTTAAACGTTTCTTTGTCCACTCTAAATAGTTTTATAAATCTGGAAATACACTTTGAGTATAAGGCACAGTACAGAGCCGAGTTGCATGCAACTCACCGCGCATCCGGCAAACTGAGAACGCATGTATTTGCTCTGGAGGTTTTATTAACTCTGCGCTGATGCACTATCTGCTGTTTTTTCGCCTCCAAACAAGCGATTGCGAAAGTGAATGTCATTTTTATTGTCTAGTCTAGTTTGTTTACAAGCAAACAAAACCAAATTAAAATTATTAGAGATGTGAATTGGGCTTATCGATTAATGTGCATTTCCAATGCTGCCATACTAAGTGGATAGCGTTGCCTGATCGACAAATTCATATTTCTTGTCATTCAAATACGAAAAGCTTTCGAGCAACAAAAGCTGCGTATGATGATTGAGGGTCTTCCTTTAATTGAAGGCAATTATTTTATGGCCAAAGCAAATTATGTTTAGTATTTATCTTATGTATTCATAATAAAAAAATAAAATAAATAAAAAAAATTATATAACTAAGCCAATTGTAACAAAAAAACTCTTATGAATTGAAGGAATCAGACCATTTGGTAGCGATTAGTTTTGATTATCGATAACAGCACATGAATATTCGCACTACCCTCTAAAAGTATCTCTTCTATCAAACAGCACAGAGTGCCCAAGTGTAATATTCACAAATTAGATAAAACTCAGTGTTTGATTCAACAGCTAAAAGACTAGTAATTCGCAGTAAAGTTAGCTAACGGCTTCTCAGTTGCATTTGTGCTCTTACTTACAACGGTTCACTCAGCGTAAAATAAATGTGTATGCTCAAAAAGTGCAACAAATTGTGTTAAAGCGATCAATAATTCTACAGGGCGGAAGCAAAGCGCTCTAAGTGTGGTATATGTGTTCACAATAAATAATTATTAACGTTTTTGACAGCAAGAAGACCACAAGCAACGACATGCTCCTACAGAGAAACAAGTAAAAAGCGGCATATGGTTTCTTTCGTTTTTGCTCATTTTTGTGTTACCCGCATAATTTAATTAGTGTCTCGCTCGCTATGTGTACATTTTCTGTTTGTGACGATCCCTATCCACATACTAGCACTTCCCCACCTCATTTTGGCTTGTCTAGACTCTGGTTTTATTTGCGTGTTAGTTTTATCTGTTGACATATGTTTTTATGTATGTATGTATGTTTGTATGTAATTGAGTTGCTGGTTACTTTATTTGTTCATTTTGCTTTATTTTTGGATTTTGTTTTGTTCATCAAATTCTATCGGCGTTGCCAATGCAAGTCAGGCAGGCCAGCTGTTGGCTTTTGGTTGCATGACAACAATATCACACGACCACGCCAAGCATTTCATGAAAATCACTGTGAAATTTATGTGCATTGCAGACGTCTTTTATTTCGGTATTTCTGAATTTTGTTATTGTTATCAATTTGGTTGGCATTGTCGGCCTCTAACGAGACAGTCCGGCAACTCTGCTCATCGCTCGCACGACCGCTCTCGAAGGTTGTCTTTGCTCTTGCGCTCCATTTATTTATTCTATTCGCTTTTATTTATACAAAACGATAAAGTGTCTTTTATTGATTTCGAGCCCTCGAGCGTGCACGCAACAAACGTCGGATTTGTTCATTGAAAGCGTTAATCAATCAACGCTTTAGTGTCAGTGGCTCGTTGCCGTCTGTTTCGTTGTGTTATCACAAATTTCGCGCGTGTTTTCGTTAAAAATTTGAGCGCTTTTCTTAACAGGTATCTCTTGTTTATAAATATGTACCCGTCTAAATAATAGCGTGTACTTGGTATGTACATGTCTAAATGCAGTGCGATAAGATAAACGGCACCCAGCTGGAATTAACAGGGTGCTTAATTACATGCGACAGTCCACGCACACTCGCACTCACGTGCATTTCGGTTGAGTTGAAATGTCAAGAGATTGCGACACTTCAAAATGAGGCGCCATTAAAAAAAAACTCATTATATGCACACATATTCTGTGTGTGTGTGGTGTGTGTGTGTGCGTTTGTGCGGTTTGTTGTCTTTGTGTGTGTGTCAGTTAACTGCGATTTGTAAATATTTGCCGCAATATACTCTCATTACACTTGGAGACGCCAATTTGGCGCATGGGCTCATGAGCTGTTGCTGCTGATTGTGCGCGCGGGGGAGGCGGAGCTCTGCCACTGCCTGGCATCAAGCCAACAAAGCGGATGCGCAACAATAGACCGCAAATGCCATACAACACAGCAACCACATAAATATTTGTGTACAGTAAAAGCTTCCTTAAGCGGACATTGCATTTCGTAGCAATTAGGATAATTAATCGAACTAAAATTGACATTTTCAAACTTCAATAGATATGCTCTAAAACTTGCCTTTTTATTTATCATTTTAATTTTGTCGCTGTTATTTCTTGGACATTATATTTTCTGTTATTGCTTCGATACGAAAGAAATGTAAATGTCCACTTAAGGCAGGTTTCACTGTGCCCACCTGTACCTGTGATAAGCCAGAGAATTCACACAATGCGAACGACAACTTGTTGCCGCCGCGTGAGCGAAACAAAAGCTGTCGATTAGATAGATATGTATATTTGTTTATTTAGGGAAACACAGCTGGAAAAAAGCGTTAAGCATATAAAATCAATTAGAGTCACAGTTAAACTTCAACCTAGCGCCGATCGTCGGCATCAAAGCTGCTCGCCTTCAGTTTTAGGCTGCCGCGGGTCAGCTGATTCAGATCGATAATGGACAGGTACGGCTTGGGCGGCACACTGACGCCCAACGTGGGCACGGCCAGCTCTATGGAAAGAGGGCCGGCGGCAGCGGCGGCTCGCTTGTGGCGACTGCACGCGCCCGGCTCGCTCAAACCCAGGGAATACTGATCGTGGTGGGCACAGCTGGCGGTTACAGCGCGCCGATAATTGCGGTAGCCGCTGAAGCAGCTGCTGCCGGGCGCAATGGGTATGGGTCGCGTTGGTGAGAAACCGCCCTCGTCGGAGGAGACGCCGCCGCCAGCAGAATCATAGCAAATGCTCAGATTGGTGTACGCAATGGGCGCATGACAGCGCGTCGTCTTTGGCCTCGGCTTCACCTCGTAGCGTGTCCTGGAGCGGGAGCGCGAATGATGCGTGCGCGGTCTGCCGCGTCGCTTGCCCTGCAGCCGCATCTCCGACACCAGCGGCATGGCCAGCACATTGATGAAGCGATAGTATTGCAGCAGAGTGCGTGCCACATTGCGTCCGACGCGATGATCTGCATGTTGAAGGGAGAGAATTAGCACATTTGGAGCGAACTTACGAATACTTACATCCATCCTCGTTGTAGAGCGCAATCGTCTTGCCGTCGCGCAGATAGTGACCCGCCATGGACACCTCCAGGTTGTACGCATTTACCGTGTCGCTAAGGCGCTCGCAGCAGTATCGCCTAACGCTGCCCGCCTTGCGCTCGTCCGCATTGAACATAGTATGCTCGGCGATATAATCCTTGGCATTGCTGGCAAAGAGCCGTGGGAACACCAGATGCCGCTCATAGCGATAGACATCCTCGTATGTATTGCCATAGATGAAGCAGCCGTGCATGCTGCTGTTCGCGTGCAGGTCGATCACAAAGTCAATCTGATATGTCTGCCCAGGAGGAAGAACAAGTAAAAGTTGTTGCATTCAACCGAATACCAAATGTAATCGACTCACATCCGAATTATCCAACTCCTTTAGCATATTCCTGATGGCATGCAACTCCGGCTGCGTATACTCGGACGCCACATGCCAATTGCGATTCATATCCTGGCCCATCAGATTGCAGCGATTGTTGCCCAGGAAGACACCATCCGGATTGACCATTGGCACAATTTTAAATACGAAATGCTCGCGCAGCACTTGCGCAATGGGATGATTGCCCACCAGAAATTCGATGAATCCCTGACAAACATGAGATGCAGGCGCCTCGCTCGAGTGCGTTCTACAGAGTATGACAATAACGCGTATGAAGCTACGCTCCAGGCGATTCGTCGGACGCCCGCTATGCGTCACCTGATCCACTGTCAGCAGATCCACATTGCGATTTTGCTGTAAAAAAAACAACAGGCATTAAATATGAGCATGGATGCTGAGCAACAATAAACAAACACACCAAAGATTTGACCAGGACGGAGCGCGTGAAACGCTTTTCGGGTCCCTGGCGTGCATCGATCACATTCAAATAGGACTGCAAGCGGGAGTAGCTGTAGGGCAGGGCCAGGGCGAACATATACACATCCTCCTCCTTGTCAAAGTTAAAGCCAAAACTGAGCACATAGTGGCCCTGATGCATGGCCGAGCGATAGAAGAACACCTGACGCTTAGGCAAACGCTGCCATTTGGGCCGGCTGGAGGACTTCACAAGCGGCGTCAGGCCGCTGTTAAACAGATTGCGGCTCTTGCTGATGTTCACAATGTTGAACAGCACACGCTGATCCTGTTTCACATTATCCACGGTAAAATTGAACCAAAAGCGATAGCGCGGATTGCAAGTGTCTGGACGCAGAAACAAATCGTACTCGAACTCGCCCACCAGCTCCGCCTTGCCCAGATTTCCAGTCTCAAAGGCCGCATCAAAGCACAAATGACCGCGCTTAGCCTTCCCGCTCTGCCCGGGCGGTCGTATAATCACGCGCGAGACATTGCCCAAGCCACCCTCGCCATCGCTGTCCTCGCTATCTGGAATGGAAGTGTTTAAAGGATTACAAACGGGCAGTTGAGCATAGTTAAGCTGTGGGCGAAGATCTAAACCAAATACCATCTGAGCCGCGCTCATACATGCTCGTATGCTGCAACGGATCACAGGCTATGCCCAGCATTTTGGCCAATCTCCGTTATGGCGCAAGTGCTGCTAACTTCTAAGACTCTTCTAATGCAACTGGCGCCTGCTAATCCGGCAGCTATGCTGCCAGAAGTACTTTCGCAACGCCTTACCGTATCGCAAAAGGTTAATCCTGCCGCTCTGCTATCTTTAAACTCGACAGGTGGAAGAGGAGGAGGTGGAGCAGCAGCAGGAGGCAGCACACATATGCGTGTCTTGGTTATCGCGCTGTTGCAACTTTTTAGCTGCAACTGCCACGGAACTGCCGCCTCAAACGTCAACGTATGAAATTGAATAGTCGCGGTTGCGTTGCCCGCAACCCAAATGGGCGGCATTGCAAGTGCCCCTGCGTCAATGCCGTGATTTATCAAGGAGCAGCGGCCAGCTCAAGAAATCTGCCACACTCACCTGAGTCACCCATGCCGCGTGCAACTTGATTGGATTACAGCTGGCAAGGTGTATTCCTTGGTGAGCGCATTGAATCGCTTCGCTGGCCAATTTATAAATAGAAATTCAATTAACGGAACACATTTGCCGCCCACTTTTTGGATTTATGTCTTGGGCCTTTCACTTTTCTTTGACGGCACTCGATTCGCGTGCGATGTCTTGGCTACAACTCTTATAGATTCCAATCAGTGTAGACTATGCGTCGCCCTATTGCCCAGGTCTAAACTGGCCGTTTGGGCTGAGTTGGGCTGAATGAGTATGGCACACACAGCCCGATTGCTGCCGCTGGCCTGTCTAATGCATTGCTTGGCACTTTTCACGTTGCCATACACACACACCTGCACACTCACCTGGCACTGGCTCACATGTGCTCCTGTGTTTGATCGATATAAACGCGCGCAGTTGGCATTGCGGTTTTGGCCAGGATTCACACAGTTAAATTTGCGTCACGGCAGTCTTTAACTTTTTGGCAGCGCAAACTTCGCATAACTCGCATTAAAAAGAAGCAGAAAGAAAAAACTGGGCAACGGCGTTGTCAAAGTGGAAGACCTAATTGCCCTGCCGCTTGTTGCAGCAGACACACACATAAATAACAACCAGACACAACTATACGGAAACTAGTTCACGGGGCTAATCGATAAATAAACTAAAAAATCGTGTGGGGAAACACAGGGCGTACGCGTGTTTAACTTATGACAGCCACTGTCGCACTGTTGACGTGTCGCATAACTTAGTATATTTAGAGTCCATAGCATGTCCAAACGCAGGTAGCTTTTAATATAACCCACCGCCCACCGTTCATTATTATATTTTATTTTTTTTGCCTGTTTTGTTGTTTTCCCTTTTTAACCACTAGATTTTATGCCTAATCCTCTATGAATGTATCTTGCAGATTAGGCAGCGTACGCCCACCGAAGCGTTGCAGAAGCGACATGGACAATATCTCCACATCGGACATTGTCATCATCAATGGCAACTCGCATCCGGATCTGGCCAATTCGGTGGCCGAGCGCATGGGTCTCAAGAACGGCGGCTGCTCGGTGTTTCACAAATCGAATCGCGAGACCATCGTTGAGATAAGCGACTCGGTGCGCGGCAAAGATATTTACATTATACAAACAGGCACCAAGTGAGTGTGGCATTATCTAAAAACTGTGGAGCATAGGTAAATCTTTATATTTTTGCCAACAGGGATGCCAACAACAATATCATGGAGCTGCTAATTATGGCCTATGCCTGCAAGACATCCTCGGCTCGCTCTATTGTCGGTGTCATACCCTATTTGCCGTACTCGAAACAGTGCAAGATGCGCAAACGCGGCTGCATTGTGTCCAAGCTGCTGGCCAAAATGATGTGCACCTCAGGACTCACGCACATCATAACCATGGATCTGCATCAGAAGGAAATTCAAGGCTTTTTCGATATACCCGTTGATAATTTGCGCGCCTCGCCCTTTTTGCTGCAGTACATACAGGAGAGCGTGAGTGGGGGGCAGTAGTCTCTATATATACATATTTTTAACTGATTTGTTTTGACTACACTTTAGATACCCGACTACCGCAACTCGGTGATTGTGGCACGCAATCCGGGTGTTGCCAAAAAGGCTAATTCGTATGCGGAACGGTTGCGCCTCGGCTTGGCTGTCATACACGGCGAACAGAAGGAGGCTGAGAGCGATGAAGTCGACGGCAGATACTCGCCACCGCCCACCAGGTGAGTCTCCAAGCTAACCAAGCCTTTTACTCTGCCCCCCCAGCCAGTTCGTCTTTTTTATGTATGTATTTTATTTGGCTCTTGATCTTCTTGTTATGACTGAAACTCAAGCGTAAATCATTTTTTGTATATGTTTTTTGCAAAGTACATAATAAAAATGTTATGCGAAATATGTGCATTTGTATATGATTCGCTCCATCATTCCCACCAAGCATTGTGTTTATGCTGAGTAGCTAGCTCTTTGTTTATACTTGACTGTAGCTGTAAGGCGCGATTGAATATGTTTGTTGTCTTTAGCTAGAAGTTTTGAGATTTAGCTGTGACTTCACTTTGTACTTCAAAAATACAGCAGTTGTCCTTGCTTTCGGCTCTCGACATATTGTAGTTCGAATCAACAGCAGTTAACTCATTTGCATACATACATATGGGCATTTCTAGCAGAAGTTCCTACGTGATCAAAATCGAAAAAATGTTTCTTTTGATTGATGTCATCAAAGTTTATTGAGACAATGTTCCCAAAAAATGTTATTTCAAAGTACTGGCAGCTAATCGAATATTGCAATAAAGCTACAAAATGAAATTTAATTTTGTTTGTATTGCTTTTAATCACTTTTTATGACGCGTTCTCTTACACATCTGTCTCAGTATAATGTTCCCTCTCGTATCTTAAAATCTCAATTTGATAAAGAATTAAACACACCGAAATTCAAAGAGAACGTACCAAATTGTTTATACCAGGATTGAGTCAATTTTGATTTTGTCAGATTGTGCTTTATAAAATGTTTTGGGTGACTTTTGTGTTATTATAGATGCAGGCGAGAAACACTTGTGCTTTCCGTCGTGTATTCACTTTCGAAAGGATGAGTAAATACTGTCTCCCAGCCCAGATAAAAGCCTTCTTCATTAAGTCAATTTTAACCAAGCATCAGAAAACTCGAACAACTCTTGTTCACTTGGGGAGTCCCAGGCACAATGAACCATCTCAGTCAACTGCCACGCCCCGCTCTTTACTGAGACTCACTAATTATTATTATTATTATCTCTATGTTTTACATTTTCTTTGCTAGAAACATTTTTTTAACAGCGATTCACAATTAACAAATTGCCGTTTAAGTGTCATTCAAAAGGCCAAGCTTAAAACAGAAAGTTTATCATAAATTATATTGAAAACGTACGACTATCATGTGCGTCGCTCTGGAATTGCCCAAAAACATTACGTTACATAAACTATTGTAGCCATTTATTTAATTAAGATTCCATTGACATTGATATCAAGCACGAACCATTCCACGTGTAGAGCAAGCATACCGCACTCTCAAACACGCCTCGAACTTTTGTAATTGTTGTCAATTCGTACTTCACCGACAACAGATGCATTGAGGCAATTACCTTCAGCTATAGCTTTCGTTATGTTGTATCTTTTTGACCGAATCGGCTGTAATTGCTTTTACGCATGTTGGCAATTTTATTGCCGTCGTTTTGCAAATTCCAGTGCGTTTAGCATTGAGCGAAAACGAAAACAATATCATTCTCTTTATTTATGCAGGGCGTATTGCAATATATTAGGAAATTCTGTTGAAATGTGCATACCATCGGCGTCTAGGTTTGTATTTTAAATACAAATATGTAACACTTATAATTTGTTTAGTTTATTCTGAAACGCGAATTGTATATGTACTGTCATTTTTCTTTTTTGGTTTCAATATCGACAACTACGACAACGCACCACCACTTCCACAACAACAACTACAACTACAACAACAACAACAATCGCTACTACAACAACGCACCACACCACGAAACATCTGCACACGCCATCCACACACAACTACTCTGCACAATAAAATGACCAAAAATGTCAACTGCCACACTATTAACAAGAAACTCTACTCCACAACATGCACCCAGTAGTAGCCGCCAGCGCACCACCTCCGTATCGGTGGGTGTGCCGGAGCATCCGGTCAAAGTCAAGCCGCCGCTCACAATTGTGGGCGATGTGAACGGACGCATTGCCATTATGGTGGTATGTATTAGTGCTAAGGACTAACTATATAGATATCTGACCGTTTATGCTCTGCAGGACGATTTGATCGATGATGTGCAAGCGTTTGTGGCCGCCGCCGAAATGCTAAAGGATAATGGTGCCTGCAAAATCTACGTGCTGGCCACGCACGGTCTGCTCAGCTCGGATGCGCCGCGTCTGCTGGAGGAGTCGGTCATAGATGAGGTGTGTATATAAAGTTTAACGCTGTTGACTTCACAATCTAATAACTTACTTTTCTATCACGCAGATTGTTGTCACCAATACCATTCCACATGAGGTACAGAAGTTGCAATGCAACAAGATAAAGACTATTGATATATCGATACTGATCGCGGAGGCCATACGTCGCATACACAACAAGGAGTCAATGTCGTATCTGTTTCGTAATGTCACGCTAGAGGATTAAGGATGCGTCTGCTCGCACCTACATGCACACTCATCCACACACTCTCACACACATCACTCATGTACTGTGTCATAAATGGTCACTAGCCAGTGTAGTAGCTTCATGGAAGTTGCATCTTCTTTATATTGTTTGTTTACCCCGCCCTACCCCGCTTTAATTTTATTAAATATAAACGATTATAAACCGCGCTCTACGTGCGGCTGCTCAAATAAAACGAAATATGCTTTAAAATTGGCCAATTCTTAAACATATATTGTAATTTATATGCAAATAAAATTTGAATTTTAATTTATAAACTCAATTTACTTTCTGTTGCATACTTTTTGGCTGAGACACAAAACATAACATGGTCAAACGTAAAGTTTTCGTACATACATATGTGAATGAGTAAGCCCTATAACATTTTAACACCATCTTAACTTATTTGAAATACAAACAATACCAATTTTATATGTGTGCTAACTGATAAGGTAAACTGCCCACAAGCTGTGCAAGTTGCCAGCCAGGTACTTGGCAGCCTATAAAATGCAAATACAAATACAAACAAAGCTAATCAACATTTTGCATAGCTAAAGTTTAACAATAAATAGCCATTGTTAACTTGGCCATTTAGCCAAAAGTCAATTAAGTCCATTTTTGGCGGAAATGCGACACTTATTCCCATTAATTGTTAACATTTATTGGCAATGGCTAATCGCAGCCAATCGCATTTTTTATTTAAATTTATAATTATCATAAAAAGTTTAATTGGTACACAATTTAATTGTAGCCATAAATTGTTAAGTCGCATAATTTTGTGTTCATTATGAGCAATTAGGTTTTTTTCTGGCCACATTTATAAAACCACACTAAAAAAATTAATAATAAATTTTAATTGACTGGGCAAATGCGTCATTAATCAATTCGTCAAATAATTTTGCCACTTTTGTAAGCTGTATTTAGTTTCATCTTTCTTTTGCCCCCCTTTAAGTATTTGTTATCTATTGTATAAGCAAATTTGACTTTTGGCAAACACAATAAAGTATTACAGCGGCTGACAGATGTGCTTCATAAAAGATATTTGAGCAAATATTTAGGCGCGTGTTTTTGAAGTGCGTTACGGAAATGAGAACAGCTTGATAAGATTACAGACTATCAACATTGCAATTTCGAGACATGCAATTCCCGTTATGATTAAACTCATGACGTGATCTCTCCGTGTGTCTGTGCGGTTGTGTGTGTGTGTTAATTAAAATTACAAATATTGTGATTGTACACGCCTCATAAATTAAACATGAGGCCAACTAAGGGCTGCGCTTAGTTGTTCGCCAACTTGTACAGCAAGAGACGCTTATAAATATTTGCAGCAAACAGAACGAGTGTTAAATATGCTAAGAAAATGCAAAAATAATAAATATATATGCATACATATATATTAATAAACCTACATAGTGCCTTGTGATGTTACAAAAAAAAATGCAGCAAACAACTTCAACTGATTACGTATCTGAACAATGTCTGGGCGGTGTGGCAATAAAATGGGCACCGTGCAAAAACAATACGGCAGAAATATTGTGACTTAAGATTTACAGCTTCACTTGGGTTTTTCTCTGCTCGAAAGTCACAACGCATTTTAAAAAGAACCAATATATACATATAATATATTTATTTTCTTAGACTTGTCTCAGCTAGCTGGTAAAATACCCAACTAAAATTACTAATTCATTAAAAATCAAGGTTATAACCAGGTGTTTTAAAAGGCAGCCGATAGCCCGAATTGAACCATATTAAAAAGCTATCTTTAAATTTTAATTTGTTTTATTGTGCGCTGGAATCGGTCAGATATAAAAGAGGACTTTAAAAAGCACAGCTAAAAATGTAATTTTTATACAGTCGAATCTAAGTCAAAATTTACTAGAATATAATGTCGTATAATCTGACCTAAGTCAAAAATTTGCTAGAAGATATTCTAGTTAATAATATCAGAAGTTTTCTTATAAAGTTCAACTTTCAGCTTTGTCGTGCTTGAAATGGGAAAAAATGTGACTAATCATGATGCGAGCCAAAGCCTGGGAATATACCTGATTCAGAAAATAAAACCTTAAAGCAAAATGTGAATCGAACAATTTATCTAAATTTTTTCTGGGTTCTGCAGTCATGTCTACTATATCATAGTGCATGTTAGCCCAACAGGAAGTCAGTTAAAATTCGTTTAAAAAGAATGCAAAATGAAATTATTATTTACTTGCGCCAACTGTCACTTGTGTAGATGTTTACATGCTTAGTAGCAGATCTTACTGAAAGCTAATATATCTTAGCGCATGTTTGTCTAGCAGGAGGTCAAGCGATAAGCTAACCAACTGTTTGCTCTAGAAAATGCCAAAAACAAAGTTACCAAAAACTCAAACAGAACCTTCAACAATGCGTCAGTTGATGCTACAAATAATCTGGCCAGATTCTAACGATATAAAAGCTGCGCGTTTGTTGTTTATTTGCATAGCAGATGCTAAAAGCAATTCAAGATCCACACACAGAGTTCTAGGTCTGTGGGTATAAAAATGTTTATTCCAGCGTGGTGTTAAAGGCTTAGAGACAATTGAAATTAACTTGACTACAGGCCACGTGATAATGCAAATTTGTGTACATTTGGCAGCACCTTGTGTCATTTAACAATTGTAAATGTGCTGCATAAATTTCATAGTTTAACCAGAGCTATTGTGCTGTCTCGTCTCACGTGAAGCGGCTCAACGACATGCAATCAACTCAACTCAACTCAATTCAAAAAAAAAAAATGGCTAAAACGCTGTTGGCCACATTACGCATACGCCCTGTCGCCCCGTCGCCGTAGTGGCGTGCATTGAACCCCGCTTTGGATGTTTCAATGTAATTTCCGTAAGCTATATACAAAGTGCATAGTGTTTAGCATATTGATTAGCTGGCCCATCAAAGTTAATAGCCCAAATGTCAGAGCTGTACGTACTGTTTGTTATAGCAAATATTCCTGTGTCTAAATATCGGAATATTTATTTATTTTTATTGTTGTTTTTTTTTTTTTATCAGTGGCCCATTAATGGCTTGGCAGCTGTCGCTGCTGCGCGTCGTTTGTTTTCATTTTTGTTATTTTTTTTCCGCTATCACTCAAAATTGATTTGCTAACTCATGTTGCTTGTTGGCAATTCATTAGCACGATATTTGTGTGCTCATAAATTGGCTGAATAAGCGCGGCTTAGCGCCATTTAGCACTCGGGCTGTTCAAAGCGAACGCGGCTGGCATTAAAACTAGCCAACTGGCCTAATCAAATTTGGCTAATTTTATCAGGAAATTACGTTAATATAATAAACAAAATAATTTTTAACAATTTGTGATCCCAACAAATGGCAACACGCATTTAACTTTCATTACGTTCTTTTTTATTTTTTGTTTATTTTTTTTTTGGCACATTTGTTTTTATTTTTTTTTCTTAATGTCCCAGAGCAATGGAATTAGCAGCGATTCTGATGATTTACAAGCCAGGCAAACCAGAAGTTGATCCTGAGTCGTATCGGCTAATAATTCTCTTCCCTCCCTGTCTAAATTTTGGGAGAGGACTATTGTCAATCGGATTACTGCCATTATAAGCCAATGCATTATCTTGCCGGATCACCAATTCGGCTTTCGAGAGGGACGCGGCAATGTGCAACAGATCCACAGATTGGTGAAGCACATAATGCAGGCTTTTGACGACCTGGAGTTCTCCAACGTTGTCTTCATTGATTGTGTCTTCATTGTGGCACGATGGATTACCGTGCAAACTAAAAAACCTTTTACCTGCACCCTATGACCTTTCAAGGTCATATCTGGAAGGAGAGCAGGAGTGCCGCCGGGCAGTGTTCTTGGTCCGCTGCTCTTTTCCTTGTATACTTCGGATATACCCAGCCCTACCTCTCAACATATGGAAGCTCCGACTAAGGCTATTATTGCGACATATGCAGATGACATCGCAGTCGCTTATAATTCCAAAAGTCGCGTAGAAGCAAGTAATGGACTACAGGGGTATCTTAATACCCTAGCAGCTTGGTGAAAACGGTGGAATTTGAAGGCTAACCCGCTCAAAACAATAAACCCATGTTTCACGCTCAAAGGGCTGATGCATGCCACTCCAATCCAGCTAGAGGGAGTTACCCTGGAGCAGCTGTCACAAGCTAAGTATCTCGGCATCACCCTGGACTAGCGCCTTACCTTTGGGCCACACCTAAAAGCTACGGTAAAAAAATGTTGTCACAGATTGCAACAACTGCGATGGCTTAACAATAAAAGAAGCACCTTGCCGCTGAGATGCAAAGGAGCTGTATACGTGCACTGTATTTTGCCGATATGGCTTTATGGAGTGCAGATTTGGGGGATTGCAACCAAATCCAATTGTAAACGTATACAGGTATTGCAGAATCGGGTACTACGCAGATAACCAACTGCCAACTGTCGACTTAAACGACAAGGTTTTGCCAAGACGATTGGATGTCAGTAAGACTACCTGCATTTAAAATCCTCACACTGGGCGTTATGGGGTTCGGTTCTGAATTACATTTTCCATCCATGTGTTGTTAAGGTACTTAATTATGATTGTACAGGTTCTACACTTAATAAAAAAAAATTGCATTATGGTTTGGGCGAAATGAGTCTTACATTTGATTCAACCAAACAATTAGGGGTGTTCATTAATTAAGATATTTAAAAACACAGCTTTGTGTTTATTATAATATGCCACAAAAATGTTTAATAATTTGCTATTTTTTATAGTTCGGACTAAATTGAATTGAATCAATAATCAAATAAATGCAAAACTACAGCAATATTCTTTCGTATATAATATAATATACAAAATCGTTTTTACTAATTTAACTTTTAACTGTTGCTTTTTATTGGCACTGACAACTTTTTTTTATGGCTGGGGCGAAATGAGGTTTACATTAGATCCAAACAAACAAACAGGGGTGTTCAGTGTTTAAGAAAATGCAAAGCACACAACTGGTTGTATACGTAACAAAGAACTCGCATCGGTTCAATGAACTCTAATCTTGACTTGTCGCAATGCAAGTCAGAAAACTTGTTGCGAAAACCTTCCGTTCGGCAAATGTTGCACTCATTTGTCAATGAGGCTGACTACCCATAATGCGCCATGGTAAAAATATACTCGGGTATCCAGTTTTTGCTCTTTTCAGCTGTCGCCAATTGGGTTCAGTCATGTGATCGAATGAATTCAGCAGCAATTGCGGCCAACGGGGATGCACAGTGATACAAAGATTGTAAACAACGCGAGGCTGATGATTATGAATGGTC